CACACACACACACACACACACACACACAGTCAACAGACAAAAGTTTCTCTTAAAACATTTAAAAACCTTGTGTGACATCTCCAAGTCACTCTGTGATTTGTTCTTGAGTTTCAGGTGATTGACTGACGTGGATTTGCACCTGGGCTAAATCATCACGCTTTAAAAATGGACTCTATGGAACAATGGATGGGGAACTATTGCTTGTTGTAGGCGTCTGTGCAAGAGTCTACCGGAGCGCTCATGGGATATGGAGGTTACGGGAGGTCGCCGCCGCACCGGAGGAGTTCCCGTTTTGATTAATCTCTACCTAGATCGGACATTTGGGTGTTGAGTTTTGCTATTGGTGTTTGTTTGGACTGTTGTTATTTGTACTACTTACAAGCACTTGTCAATATACTGACTATCACCTACACTGATTACATGTTTTTTTTTTCTTTATAGCTAAATAAATTTGTTTTGTTAAACAGTGGTTGGTTGCTGCGTCTCCCTGATTTTTTGTTGTGATTTTAGGAAAAGAATAGTAATACTTGTTTTCTTGCCGAAGTACAACACGTTATGCTGTCAGAGGTTAATTATTAATGCATAAAGTTAATTATTTATACAACCACACTAAGCAATGATTATTTCCTTACTATTCAAATGTTTTAAAGAAGATTTGTTGTACATAAAGGATGAGAACAAAGAAGCTCATCTGCTCCTCCCCCAACCACCTGACTCCCTCTCTCTAAATTATCAATTACCAACACATCAGCAGCTCAATTAAACTTCAATAGCTCAGTTAACACTCATTAGGCAGGACCGCCAGTTTAATTGATTATTGATGCCCATGTTCCTGCAAGAAATGAATTTTTACCTCTGTTCCTGAGCTTTTATGAATGCTGTATGGCAGTGGTTCTCAAACATGGAGTACCCCCAGCCCTGCACATTTTGTATGTCTCCCTCATCTATCACACCTGATTCAACTCATCAGCTCATTAGTGGAGACTGCAAGACCAGAAGTGGGTGCATCAGATATAGGGAGACATACAAAATGCGCAGTGCTGGGGGTACTTCATGGAGAGGTTTGAGAACCATTGCTGTATGGGTTTACACACATGCATGCATGCACACACTGCCTGAAGTGTGACCCAGTTTTACATGAAGCGAAATGTAATAAAGCTTTTTTTATTGGATGGCTCTGCTCTGCCCCTGGCAATAGAGGGTTGATGAATGTTGGGGTGATGTCATCAACAAGCGCCCCCAGTGCTGTGTGTCCAAACTGTCCTGAGTTTCAGTATTACCTCCAGCAAATTTTGACCGTGTGTATTTCACACACACTCTCTTCATTTAGTTTGGACAGCACATGGTCTTAATGAGCCAATGCTTTGTTGGGGCACATTCTCCTCCGGCCAAAAAAAAATTGCTTCCAGGACTGTCCACTTGGGTTTGTATCCATCTGCCTTTCTATTCATCCAGACAAGCCTTTTCTTGTACACTTCCACTTTTGCAAGGCCTTCTGGGTAGAATTACTAACAAAATTGAAACAAAACCCTGCTAAAAATGTCTTAAACCAACCTGGGCTGCGTTTCCCAAAAGCATCGTAAGCTAAGTACATCGTAGTCCCATTGCCACCAAGGGAGCTACGATTAACTTAGGGTTACGATGCTTTTGGGAAACGCAGCCCTAGTCAGTTTGGTCAGGCTGGAAGACTATCTTAAACCAGCTAAGACCTGTATTAGTCTGATTTAAATGGGTTTTTGCAGCAAGGAGATTGTGTACTTTACTTTCAGTCACATTCAAGTTTAATACTTTGGGGTTTAGCACAAATCCCTGACCCTTAGTATGAGCAATAATAATAATAGCGATGCTTATTTTAGTGAGCGCCGCTAATTAAAATACTCTGACACTCAATAACTGGACTTACTGGAACAGAGAGTATCTGAAACCGTTCTGAAGACTGCTCTTAATGAATGCACTCGCTTGGCACAGATATCACTGGCAGCGCGTAATGGTTTTAATTTGCCCCTCTTGGTAAGCCTGTGCTCATGTGTGGGTTCTTAAAAATGATTTTCCTCCAGTCCGGTGGAGATTTGGGTCAGTCCTCGCAGTTCAGACTCCTGCATATTACCCTGCTAATTTCTCAGCGGTTTATATAGACTACTACAGGTGAGGCATAAGGTTTTGATTTGGACATGGAAGAGCTGCCAAATAGAGGCAGTAAAGTAATCTAGGAACTTTTTTGTGAGGCATTTACACAACATTGTTTTCAACTAAAAACCGAAATGTTTTTATGCGTTTTGGCCATTCATTTACATGACAACAGCGTTTTGGGGGCCTGAAAATGCAAACTTTTTACTGTAATCGTCTCTGTGTAAACTACAAAAATGACAAAACTACAAAAAAGTCGGTGAAAACTTGACAACCATGTATACAGTGTTTTCACAGACCCATGTGAAACTGTGATTTGACATGTTTTGGTCATTGCATGTTGCGACTTGCTTCCATTGTGGTGTGGCTTGTTTCTTTTGTGTAGTGTTCATTTTGTTGAGTTACGGCTTGTTTCCGTTGTGTTGTGCTAATTTTGCTGTGTTGTGCTAATTACGTTGTGTTGTGCTAATTTCGTTGTGTTGCGACTTGTGTTGGAGCTTTTTTCTGTTGTGTTGCAGCTTGTTTTGATTGTTGTGGCTTGTTTCTGTTGTGTTGTGCTAATTTAGTTGTGTTGCGACTTGTGTTGGAGCTTTTTTCTGTTGTGTTGCAGCTTGTTTTGATTGTGTTGTGCTAATTTCATTGTGTTGTGACATGTTTCCGTTGTGTTACGACTTGTTTCTGTTGTGTAGTGCTAATTTTATTGTGTTATGGCTTGTTTCCATAGTGTTGTGCTAATTTCATTCTATTGCGACTTCTTTTTGTGTTGCGAGTTTGTTTTCATTGTGTTGCAGCTTATTTCTGTTGTGTTGTGGAGATTTTGCTGTTTTGTGCACTACTGTGTATGTGTATATTTGTGTGTGCGCGTGTATATAGGATTGTTTCTAAAGTAACTTGACTTGAAATTGTGTGGCTTTATATTATGACAAGCTAGTTTCAAAGTATCTTCCCCAACACTGTATATAACTGAACTGTAATGAAGAACTGCTATCTGCTGAGTTCCGTCACACACCTTTGGCAAATGCCAGACCTCCAGCTTTCACATCAGTGATATGAAGCTGCTGACCTCCATCCTCCTCTACTACCACCACTGAAAAACCTGGAGAAGAGAGAAAGAGACATAAATAACTAAAAAAGAAACAAAGAAGAGGAATAAATCAGATATAAACTGAACAGCATTGTTACCATAGCCTATGGCACAAGACTCATCTCTGTCAAACTGGATGACTTTGGTTGTCTTGGCACAAATTTCGATTTCTTTGTAGAGCTGAACAAAGGAAGAGAGAGAGGGGCTCATATTGATTGCACTCTATGGATGCACAGTTCATTTACAGTATGACTTCAGAAAGAGCTCACATACATCATGGAAAATGTCTTAGTCAGCTGAAATTTATGGCGTTGATATATACGTTAAATAAAAATCAGCTCATTCTCAAGAGAGCTTGAGACAAAACTGGTGCTTTGATCATTTAAGGTAAAGTTTAGAGAAAGTCAAGTCTCTACAGAGAGAAAGAGAAAAGATGAGAGGAGACATGGAAAACACAAAGACTCTGTCATCTTAGAAGAACTACCATGAAAAAAAACAGCAAAGTAAATTAGCTTTTGAGGTTGCACAGTCGTTGCAGAGGTGGTTCCCCCCCCCCCCACCCCCCACAGCTAAGGGGATAGAAGAACTATTCAGAGTGCATTATGCAGTACATGCATCTTCTACATAATTCATAACATATGCAGCAGCCTCTCCTCAACACGGTCTGAGAGTTTAGACTCGCTTTAACCCACATCGCAGTCAGAACTCAAAACTTTTATACTATCGGCGGCGCATTGCAGAGCCCGTCACAGTCTAATAAATTCACCCCACGCTGCGTCTGTGACCGCTAAACGCTCTTAGCTGTCCAGGACACGTGTTGCCGCTGACAGGCCTTTTTTGTTGGACTTACCAGGTCACAGAGGTCCTCCTCAGGCTTGGGGACGTACAATTGCACATGATTGTCAACGAGGAACTTCAGCCGTATATAGTGCTTGGAAAGTTCCAGTCTGTAAGCCTGTAAAAAAAAAAAAAGGAAAATGTATATAACTGCTCAAATTAAACCTTAGAAATATTTTAGTTACTTGAAATAAACATGAACAAATAAAGTATAATATTAACAAAATGATGCATTGTGTTTATAGATGCTTTCTCTGCTAAAAGATATATAAAATATATTATACACATAATATAATACAATGTAATTTCTGTATTTTTCTATTATATTTAGTACTAAACAAATATATAATCTGTATGTATTTTTGAATGGCTGACTGTACACATTATCCAACTTACAAGAGGGTTACTAACTAAATAAGTAATAAAAAAACCATCATAAAATATTAATTTGAAGGGAAATTGTTTTGTGAGAAGAAATAGACCGTGAGTTGATACAAGACATGAAGCTAGTGCACTTATGTAAGAAATTGTCATATACAGTATACAGTACAGTTTAGTATTTATTATACAAATATATTTGACTACAGAATGCTGCAGCTGACCAACCAGAATAAAGTATTCCAGAGAGCTGTATAAAAAGAAGATTAACAAATAAGGATATCTAAATAAATATCGAGAAACTATTTACATTCAGCAATAAACCACAGCATTTAATCTGTTGAAGTTACTTATGACCGTCTTTAAATGCTAAGAAAATGTGTCCATGACAAAGGACGTTAAACTTTATGTTTGCCAGTGTGAATTGGTTCATATTTAATTTCAAGACTTGACAGAAAACCATTTCTGGGATTTAGTGTGGCCACTTTGCAGGATAATTTATTTATAATTCTTTGTTTCATTCTATACTGTTACAGACTATCTAAAAAGATGCATGTAGATGACTCATAAATTTAAACACCGGACAGAGTAACTGCAGTGTGATTTCTCCACTGGCATTCAAGTGTGAACGGGACGTGATGTCTGTGTTCACAAATGCTTGAGGACATATTTATGAGAACTGTGGATAAGAGCATTCTAGAACACCCTGCAGTGATAGCAGCTGAGAACGGACAAGGAAAGAGGCCGAGAGCTACTACAGCAGAATGATAACAGGAAGATAACGGCAAGAAGAAATAATCCATGCCTTGGGAAATAGTAAGTTCCCTTTCATGGGAACTTCGAACTGCGTCCTCTAGGGGTCGCTATGGGGAACACCTCGTCATGACCCGTGTCTGAAGCATACATTGAAAAAACACCAACTCGTTGGCCAGCGACAGCCATGACGTCACTACCGGTGTGACTATAGTATAAATAGGCACCGGGAGCTACACATCATTCTCTTCTTTGTCTTCATTGACTGTTTCGTTTGAAGCGTGCATTTCTGTGGTAAGAGCGATCTCTATTTATCTCATTATGGCGAGCACTAGCAAAGCATTTAAGGATGTGTGCATCCATGTTGACGTTGTTTAACATCTGATGACACACACGATTTATGCGTTGTTTTGTTTGGGCAAAGAGCACGCACGCGATGTCTCCGAGGGGGCAATCGGCGTGCACTGCGAGCGTTTTTTCCATAGAAAGAATCGCGGGTCAAAGGAAGGTGAGTAAAAGGACCTAAGGGATGTGATCCAGACAGGGTGTCAGTGCTTTTGTCCGGATCAGAGTGATACCTCAGTATCTACTCATTTCCTTTGGGGGTCTTACATCTGCCCTTATCTTCACCTTCCTAAATTCCCCTGTAACCACCATCTCTCCACCTGACCAAGGTTAGGTGGGAAATTTCCTGCACTATAGTCTCTTATACTGGACCTATTAGGTTTGGTTGGTTCTATGGCTTCATAGTGACCATCTTACTGATGGTCCGGTCTAGAGGCTTCGCCGGACAGAGCTCCAACGCGGGAACCATGGTGCGTGAGTATGATTCATGTCTAATATATATATATATATATATATATGAATATATATGTGTATCTAATGAGACTGGTGGTTGTGTGTTAACTTCTGCTAGATTCTTTGCAGTGTTTCCCGGGACCTGTGTGTTTTTGTCCCTTTCTAGG